GTCTTCCTGATGCCAATATGTGGCGAGTTATAGCCTGTTACAGGAGCGGCACCCACCCTGGCACAATTCTAAGGATGGCGGGGGTGGAGGAGGGGCATAGGGGAGCTTCTTGATAGTATAATGTGTATTTTAGAACCAATATGACTAGAAATATACTTTGTTTTGAAAGTTATAGATTCTACATGATATGTGACTCAGGTCACAAGGTCTAGTTTTGGTACTATGTCCTGAAAATTGTAATAGCGCCTGCAGGCATCCTGAAAATTGGAGAGGGGCTCGCTTGTGTCCTGACTGCACCCTGGGTTCATGCGCCAAGGAGCATTGCGTCCTGAGTCCTTATAGCTACCCGGCTGCGTCATGAGTAACGGTTTGCGTCCTGTGCGTCCCTTGTGTCTAATGCATGGGGCGCACAGGACGCAGGCTTTATTTTTTGCTGATGTACTCCTCCCAAGTTCCTTCATCTGATCAAATCCCCTGTTCAGATCGGCCGCCAACCCAATGCAAGAAATCACCGGTTTGTACTCAATACAAGTTGAAAAGCTATTTTCCATTGTTCTATACCCTAGGATATATAAAACACAAAAGGAGAAAGCCCATCCCATCCGCACCACGCTCAAAAGGAAAACCAGGCCAGGAAATGAAGTGGAAAAATGGAAAATGATACCGGAAGACAAAAGGAAAACGCAGAAAACATCCTAGTTCACTGTCGCCCCCCCTGTAGTTATAGTCTTCATCTGGAGGGATGGGCATGCTTAACACCGAGGGGGTTCTTCTATTCTCGCCCATGCCACTGGTCCGTGTCCTCCAATTCCATTATACGCGCTTCCTTCACTGCCCCAAGGAATAGGGTTACCATGGTGAGCATCGTAACTGGTCACACTTCCACTACGTCCGTGACGGGAGGGGGATCTGCTGCCACCGTCGTCCCCACCCAGGTCTCTATCAACGAGGGCATATTCGTCGTTAGAACTAAAGGCATCCTTGGTGGTTTCCTCAATGTCATGTCCTGCCGGGCTAGGTCTTCGAACGGGGATGCTGTAGCCCACGATCGCAGTAGTTCCAGGCCTGAAAAGCCTGTATCAGGTTAATAAGGAACAAAATGGAACCGGGGAATGAATGGCGTGTAGGGTGACGGGGGAGGGGGGTGTAGTACACAGAATCGCACCGAGTCCGACCGCTGC